GGCCAGATTTCTATGCTGCCATCTTAGTGTAGAAACCCTTAACCTTGAATCTTTGTTTTAAGGAGACAAACCACACAAGTGTGAGTTCTGCGACAAGTGCTTCAGCCGGAAAGACAACCTGACCATGCACATGCGTTGCCATACCAGCGTGAAGCCCCACAAGTGTCACCTCTGTGACTATGCAGCTGTGGACAGCAGCAGCCTCAAGAAACACCTGCGGATACATTCTGATGAGCGACCGTACAAATGCCAACTCTGCCCCTATGCCAGCCGCAACTCCAGCCAGCTCACCGTCCACCTCCGGTCCCATACCGGTAAGTCTCTGGCCCTTTCTAAGTTCCTGCCCTTTATTTATTTAAAACCCAAGCAACTCAAATGACTTTGTGGTATGAGTAAAGGAATTTGGAATTTGTATGGTGATTGTGAGGTATGTGGTCTTTCTATTACCAGCATAATAGCTTTCAGTAAAACACACAAATCTGACAGCAAGGTTTTATAACTTGACTATGTAGAATGGAACTAGGGAGAGGTACCCAATACCATAGTCAAGAAGCAAAGAATGTATCTAAAATAAAAGTCTGATGTATAAGCTAAATTTCTCAGTAATTTAACTTATTCTCTGGTTGTATGACTTAATTCAGAAACATGTAGCAAAAGGAGTTAGAATGTCATTGCATATCATACATTTTTAGAGCTAGAAGTTAGAATTTGCAAACAAGTTTTTTTTCTTCCCTTTGTGAGACCTGACTGAAATAATAGATTTTTAAAAACTCTTTTAATAAAAAGATACAAAAGAAGTGGTTCCATCATGACACAGAAAAAATGGGAGTTGGAGGTTCATAAGCAGATGAGAATTTTCAGTGAATTTGTCAAAAACAGCAAGCAGATAGGAGTCTGCTGACATTTGAAATTGAGTTTTTTTTTTTTAAAGCTGTGTTCTAGCAGACAAATGGGAGGAAGGCAGACATGAGAGCCAATCTTACATGGTTTAGAACTAATATACAGACTGGCAAGGCCACAGAGCCAGCAGCAAAACAGTCCAACATATGCCCACTAGCAGGTGAAACCCATGCCACCAATCCTCTCTTCCTAAATCGGCATAGTCAACCAATCGTTATCTGTCATTTGAGGGAAATGAGTGGCATAAAATGAGCCAAGTCTCATAAATAACAAATCCTGTAGATACAGATTACTTGGGTAATAAATAAGAATTTTAAAATTCTAATTGGCATCCATCCACTGCCAGAAATGCTGCATCCACATAGGGTTCTGTGGAAAATTAGTACAAAGAGGTATTGATTTCAGTCAGGGTTGCTGGCATATAAAGTTAAAGAAATTTCCCAGAGATTTGAAATAAAAATTGGGTTAGAGAACTGAGAAAGAATAAGAAACTGGAAGTCTAGTTTCTGATTAGGTCTAGAAAGTAAAGAAAACAGAATTGAGGAACTCAAATGAGAAATAAGAAGACTGTCCCAATTCTAAGGAGCCATGTGTCCTCCGAGTGAAAGGACTCATGAAATGCCAAGCAGGATGAAGAAGCAACAGGGGGAGTCATATGTACAAAGACTTCTCAGTCATTTAGCTTTTAGGAGACAGTGGAAAATGCCTGCAAAATTGGGAAATGAGTTTGAACTTGAATTCTATACCCAACCAAACTATCTCAAGTCTGAGGGCAGAATAGACAAAGATATGTGCGGACTCAAGACTTTACTCCCATCCATCATTCTAATGGAAATTACTAGAAGATGAACTCTCACAAAGCAAGGGAGAAAAACAAAGTTTGGTGTGAGATATTTGATATCTGACTATTTGAGTATCTAAATATAGCTGAAATTGCAATAAAAAGAAATATCAGGATGATATTTGTATGGAAAGTTTAGAGAAGAAACTCTTAGTAGATCAGAAATTCAATAACAAGTTCCACATAAAGGTTATATACTCAAGAGACCTGATGACTTTGAGATTATGGTGAGACTTTTCTCTCATGAAATCTAGTCAAGAGCAAGTTAAAATGTGGCACAAAATGAGCATGTAAGATAAGTCAATTTAACCTGGTACTGAGGACTCTATCAAATGGTCCAGAAGTAATAGTGACTCTATAAGAGTGAAAATCACAACCCACAAGATGTGGGAGGAGGTTGGGGGTGATGAATGCATAAGGGGTGCAGGATAAATGAGTTCCTCATCTTCGCTTATTGTCGCTGATGGTTGTTGAAAGTAAGCTCTGAAAGAACTGGAAGTCATTAGCAATGCCTCTTGGGAGGGAGACTGTAAATTAGGGAGGAGAGTTTTCATTCTTTGCCCCTTGTCTCCTGCTACCATATTTGTGTGTTAATTTTATAAACAAAAATTCAGTCTGTACTTACAAAACTAGTAACACAAGCCAATTAACTGATAAAATGTCTCTTAAACACTGTGGTAAGCATGTTCATAAGTCTTAGCTTGATTTGGGATAGTTGTACATAACTTAAATCTCACATCTTCCACTTTCCGTGGTCAATTTTGAGATATCAGGTTAAATGAGAACATAGAATAATTGAAATTGACAACGTGTCCTTGTTAAGAGTGTGGGTTTGGATGCAGGGTGTTTGGTGGGTTCAAATCCCTGCTGTTTGCTGCAGTCAAGTCACTTGACTTCTGAGCCTCAGTATTCTTATCTGTAAAGTGAGGGCAACAGTGGCTACTCACAAGATTGTTGTGAGGGTTCAGGGCGTTAATACAAGGAAAGTGCTTGGCACAGTGACTGGGCCATGGTGAGAAGCTCAGTGCGTGTCGTCACCTGTAGGAGGCTGCGGTAGTTGGAGTTCAAAAGACCCAACAGTCTGGTTACATACAGCCAGCTGTTCTGACGCATGTGTGGGGGGTTTTGTTTTTGCCTGCCTGCTCTAATGGAAACACACCTTCCATTGCTAGGGGACACCCCCTTCCAGTGCTGGCTCTGTAGTGCCAAGTTCAAAATCAGCTCGGACTTGAAAAGGCACATGATCGTGCACTCGGGGGAGAAGCCTTTCAAGTGTGAGTTCTGCGACGTGCGCTGCACCATGAAGGCCAACCTCAAGTCACACATCCGCATCAAACACACCTTCAAGTGTCTGCACTGCGCCTTCCAGGGCCGGGACCGGGCCGACCTCCTGGAGCACAGCCGGCTACACCAGGCCGACCACCCCGAGAAGTGCCCCGAGTGCAGCTACTCCTGCTCCAGCGCGGCCGCCCTGCGCGTGCACAGCAGGGTCCACTGCAAGGACCGCCCCTTCAAGTGCGACTTCTGCAGCTTTGACACCAAGAGGCCCAGCAGCCTGGCCAAGCACATCGACAAGGTGCACAGGGACGAGGCCAGAACGGAGAACCGGGCCCCGATGGGCAAAGAGGGGCCCCGAGAGAGCAGTTCCCAACACATGGCCAAAATAGTGACTCAGAGGGCCTTCCGCTGCGAGACCTGTGGCGCTTCCTTCGTCAGGGACGACTCGCTGAGATGCCACAAGAAGCAGCACAGTGACCAGAGTGAGAATAAGAACTCGGACTTGGTCACCTTTCCACCTGACAGCAGTGCCTCTAGCCAGCCTGGCACCGTGGTCTCCGTCGGGCGGCTTGAGGGACCCCTGGAGCCCAGCCAAGACCTCTAGTTCAGCCGAGGAGAGTTGTCAGCTGTGGAGAATCCCAAAACAAAGGCTGCTGCCCAGCCCTCCAAGCCACACTGATCATCAGCCCCTGGCAATGCCTGCTCCTGTTTTTCAGGCTTCTAGAAGCAATGGCCGAAGTGGCTGTGGTGTAAGGACCATGCCAAGCAACATGGTAAAGACGCTTCTCCTTGTTACCATCTTCCCACCAAGAATGGATGAGCCAGTTGGCTTTGTCATTCAAAGGTGGGAGCCGTGGCGCACTGCTGCGTGCAGTAGGGATAACTTCTTTAAGATGGATTCCAGTGTTAAAACTGCTCTGAAATTCCTAAATCTTTAAGAGCATTCTTAATGATGGAACTATTGAACTACTTAGATGGCATAGAAAATGAATTGTAAAGTGCTCTGTGTAGTGGGACAGAATTAAGATGGGAACGGACACATGGAGCGTCTCCAATGGCTGCAAAGATTCTATTACTTAACCGGGTGGTGGTCTCAAGATTCTTCGTCTTGTCGTGTTTGTGGGGTTTCCTTGATCTGTTGTTTGACCATAAAGAGGCAAATGAAGAGGAACGTTTCCTTTGTCTTTACATTCCGGTGTAGACAGGCTGTGGTGTGGAGTTCTCCAGCCCCTCATTCAGTAATTGAATTATAAATGCCCGTGGGATTTCTTGTTGATAGCGAGAAAATCCAATTTTGTACTGCAGTGACATGAAATACATTTTGATATGTAGGTGGCGCCAAAGATCAAGCTAACAATAGACCAGCCAGCCATTGTACTTTGAGATTCAAAATTCATACACTTGTATTTATGAAGAAAGCACTTGGGGCTAGTAGGTCCTGAGAGGGGTTCTGGGATACGTGATGTGAGGGAGAGACCGGCATGTTTTTCCTCACGGGAAGCACTTAACAAGTGAAAACCCACCCTTTCATCCATGAACATTTATCTCTGTTGACCTAAGCTTAGAGGCTATGGCATCCCAGTTTGCTTTGTTTGTTCTACATCGACATCTTTTTATTTTTCCTTTCACAAATAGAGTCTGCATTAAATACAACTCTTGTGTGCCCTCATCCACCTAAACGTGTATGCTTTTAAAATAGTTTAAATAGGTCCGTTCTTTTTGATAAACTAGGAAAGAGGACATGAAGACAAATTTTTATAGATTGTACATGGGGGGTGGGTATTTCACTTACAAAATGGCAAGAGGTACTGAGCTTATTTTGTTATGACAGTTGTTTGAACAAATCTGATCCCATTTATTTAAGTTTTACATCAGGCGGTAATCATGAAATATTGAATCTCTTTATTGTATGAAAAAAAGATTAAAACGATGGCAGAGACTTTATAATGGTATCAATCATTTCTTTCCACTGCAATTGTTATTGTTCAGAAAAGTGGTTAGTGAATGCTGGCGCTGTTGCACAAATTCTGTTGTTACCATTACACTGTTGGTCATGAGTCTTATCTACGTTTTCTGTTCTAGAAACAGAAGTGTTGTTGACCTTTCAAGTGGAAACCATAGGTCAAAATCACATATAAATGTTCCTTGTCTATCTGGAATGATAACTCTTCAGCTACATAGGATTCGACCTGTTAAAAAATCAGCCTTTCTGGAAGGTGGACTTCTTTTGTTGTCTTTGACAGCTGTGTAGACTTCAGTTCAGGGTGCCATCACAACTCGTTACCCCTTGAGTACTAACGATCAACCAGGCACTTTACCTATTCACCCATTTCATTCTCCTCAGTTAAAAGTCTTAGGTTAGCATCGTTGTTGCCTAGCAAATTGAGATTCACTGTACAGCGGGGGTTGGCAAAATGTTTCTGTTAAGGGACGGATAGTAAATATTTTAGGTGCTGTGGAGACATAAAGTCTTTTTTGCATCTACTTAATTCTATGATTTGGGAGCTCTGGTAGTGTAGTGCCTAAGGCACTTGACTGCTAATCAGAAGGCTGGCGGTTCAAACCCACCAGCCACTCCTCGGAAGGAAGGTGGGGCAATCTACTTCCGTAATGATACTGCCTCGGAAACCCAAGAAGGGGTCACTGTGAGTCGGGTCCGACTCAACGGCACATAACAACAACAACAACAAATTCTATGATTTAGCGTAAAAGCAGCCACAGACAATAAGTAAAAAAATCAATGTATCGCTATGTAAATAAAACTTTACAAAAACAAGTGGGAGGCCATATTTGGCCCATGGACCATAATTTGCCAAACCCTGAGGGTAGAGCAAGAGTGCCTGGGTGGTGCAAAAGTTTACACCTGTTTAGTTTTTAGTTTGGGCTGCTAACCAAAACGTTGCAGGTTCAAGTTCACCCAGGGCACCTCAGCAGGAAAGTCTGGTAGTCTACTGTAGAAGAATCAGCCATTGAAAGTCCTATGGAGGCAGTTAGACTGAAGCACATGGAGTAACTGGGAGTCAGGATTGACTGGATGGGCAGCTGGTGGCTGGCTGCAGAGTATTTTTATCTGAATTGGTAAGTGTGACTTGAAGAACATGTTCAAAGAGACTGAACTTTCTGGAAGAGACATAAATAAGATTTGCACAACGCTAAGAATGCAGTTCAGGAGACTAAGGCTGAGTTAGGACTATAAAAATAAATGAATAAAATTTGAAAAAGAATATTGAAACTGGCAAGAACTCAGAGGATTTTGGGAAAAAAAAGTATGAGGGAAACCAAGAACTTGAACTTTCAGGAGGAGGAGGTGGTTTTCCCCCTTTTTTGTTGTCGAGAAAAGTAGAAGGTGGCAATGAACGGTGTTAAATAATTCAGGAAATGGCTAAACTTGCTGGGATGGGATTTAAAATACACAGATAACAGCAGACTAGAAGTGAGAAACCAGGCTTCATGGCTAAGGGGCTGCAGATTTGGCAGTGGCGCTCTGTAACATCATTGTGCATCTGGGAGAGGGACGGACAGTTTACACTTCACCTTCACCTGGACCCAGGGGTCAGCAAACCTTTTCTGTAAAGGGTCAGATCGTAAATACTTTGGGCTTTGCTGGCCCCAGACAGGTTCTGTCAAATTATTCAACCTGCCACTGTAAGGAAAGCGGTCACAGACAATATGTAAATGGCTGGGCCTGGCTCGGTGCCAATAACATTTCATTTACAAAAACAGGACACTCTTTGGTCTGCAGGCCATAGTTTGCAAGCCCTGAGCTAGGCCACTGAGTGCAAGCAGGAGCTTATGGATTAAGATAAACATGAAGAGGGTCCACTTTAAGGCCGGTACTGCTCCAGGCAATAGGTAGTTGAGTCCCAGGCTGGGTCATGGGAAAAACTAGAGCCTTTTCCATAGCTTGTTGCTATGTCTTTATCCAGATCAATTATACAGTCTCTGAGGAGCCCTGGTGGTGCAACAGTTAAGCCCTTGGCTGCTACCTGAAAAGTTGGTGGTCCAAACCCACAGTGGGTCCATGGAGCATGAAACTCGGTGATCTGCCCCTAGGACGATTACAGCTTAGAACACCTTGTGGGGCAGCTCAACTCTGTCCCAGGATCACTGTGAGTCAGAATCCACTTGATGGCACCCAACAACAACAGCATACAATTTCCAGGGAAGCATCCAGGAGTCAAGATGACACCCTGGTTCACACACTGCTTGGTGGTGTCTTGCTGCCTCCTGTATGAGACAACATGATTCTTTTTGTTTCCTGTGTTTAATTTCCTCCTGAAAGGATGAACTTCACTTCATCTTGGTGTCATGACTAATGAAATCTTCAGGACTTGGGATGAGCCAGGTACTCTGAAAACTACTGTTTGACTCTCCTCAGGTACTGTGGGCACTAGAATGAAGCAAGCCAGGCCCACGATATAGGGACACCAAAAACTCTAACCAGGAAATATTTTAATGCGATACTGGAGGATATATGGTGAAAAATCTCTCTCCCGTCCCTGCTCCTCGCTTTCCCCTTCAAGAGGCAGTCACCTTTAGCAGCGTCTTGTGCATCTTTAAAACTTTCCATTTAGTGTTTGTCATCATGACTGTCTTTGTGTAGGATTGGCTGCCAAAGATAATGATGGTAGCTGCCTGTGCCAGCTGTTGCTCTGAGCCCTGCAACTGTCTCCATTGCACATGGCAACTTTGCAACGTAGCTGATTCTGGCTCCACTTTTCAGAACAGGCTCCTGAGGGAAGAGTGATCAGACACATAGTGACCTTAGGAGAGAGCCCTAGTGCCAAGGAGGACACCACTTTGTGATACCCTCCCACTGCCCATGTGGAAGTGCCTGGCATGGCATTGAAGGCCCACTCTCTGCCCTCAAGCTCCTCCTACTTCCCCAAACTCCTTGTTACACACCAAGCAGCATCAGTCTTTGTTTTTCCCACCCGATGACTAATGTCCACTCCCCCTCCCACTTGCTTTTCCTTCTCTACTTCTTCCAGCTACACATGTGGCCTGAGAGAGGCATGCAATACTAGACTACCCTCAGGGTCATTGAAGCCACCATGGGGATGCGTTGCTGCACATTAGAGTGCATTGCCTGTGCCCATCCCATTAAAGACTAACCAACTGATTAGCTGCTCCTCCTGTTCTTTAACGTTATTTCTCTAACATTGTTTTGGGGAGGCCAAGACAAACAGGACACTCATCCTCCTAACCTTTCACCCCTCTTCCTCCTCTGTGTTTTTATATTCAGTGGGAACAGTGACCGAGCTGTATACATGGGCCACTCAAATTGGAAAGCAGTACTGGCTAAGAGTGTTAGGTGGTGTATCATTGTTTGTTGAGATATGGTCTTATAACAAACAACTCCCCAAAGCTGGATGGCTTACACGTTTGTTTCTCTTGCTTATGGTTGACTATTGCAGCTCTGGTTTGGGCGCCTGGTTAAATGGGCTTGGCTCAGGGTTCAGGTTGGGCTCAGGTCTATTCCATGAGTCAGTGACCACCGTGAGATCCACAGGAGTGCAAGAGCAAGCCCACCTCTGAGGTCTGCTTGAAGTCTGTGCTTGCATCTGTCTGCTAATGTTCCATCAGCCAAAAGCTCAACATCAA